GGCCAGGAGCAGACTTGCAGAGTGTGCCTTTTGGAGATGTAAATTATTATATATGCCTGAGTGGGTTTTTTTGTTTGTGTTTTTTTAAAAAAAAGCTAAAGTGGATAAAGAGAAATACTTTTAACTGATGGTATATGGAGGGGCTTATAATCAATGTTATGAAACAAGTTATATGAAGTGTTGAATGTGAAACTGATGATGTGCCCTGTAAACTTTTACTCAATCCACAATAAAAACCTTAAATTAAAAAAACAAAACTATTGCTTGTAATTGAATATAGTTATATTCCAAAAAAATTTGGAGAAAATAACTTTTTCCTAACAAGGTGAAACATGAATCTTTAAATTAGAAGTAACCCAAAGACAGTTTCAGTAACACAGTCAACCTTCAATCTATTAAAAGCATTATTTACATCTTTGTTGTTGTTGTTGTTATGTGCCATCGAGTTGGTTCCGACCCATAGCGACCCTGTATAGGGTTTCCGAGGGTGTAAATCTTACGGGAGTAGAAAGCCTCATCTTTCTCCCGCGGAGCAGCTGGTAGTTTCGAACCGCTGACCTTAATGTTCGCAGCCCGATTCGTAACCACTATGCTACCAGAGCTTTACATCTTTAGAAAATTTAAATGGGGCACATGCCACATGTTTGAGCCAAGAAACTACAACCAATTCTCAAGGTTTCAGCTTTCAACCAAACTTCATGTTGGCTGGCAACTATTCATTTAATACATTAATAATACATATTTTCCCTCAATAATTAATATAAATTAAAGCTAATTTAGTTTAACCACGTATTACAGGATCCTAGTAGCTGACATTAACAGTGCTATTCCAATTTGTTCATCACTCATGGCATAAATATGTTCAGACTGTAATTTTTACCAGTTATAAAATTGTTAAACTTTACCTACTCTCTATGGAACGTATGATAGTTACATATCTTGAGTATCTAAAATATATTTTGAAGTTGCTACGCACAGGAAATGGATTTTATTTATTCATGATCTGTAGTCTAAGCCCTTGTCACTGAATAAATTCTGACTGATTGTGACCCTACACAGGGTTTCCCAGACTATAAACCTTTACTGGGTTGTCACCCTCATCTTTCCCCACAGGAGTTGCTGATAGGTTTCACAGGAGTTGCTGATAGGTTTAACTATCTCCTTGTCTAACTCAGAACCACCAGGAAACCTTGCAGCTTATTTTAGTTAATGCTAAATGTTGGATTTTAGATATTCAGTGTTTAAAAATAAGGGATAAACTCACCTCTGTGTGTGAAATCTGAATTACTAAAAATCATCCTACTATCTATCACATATTTAAAAATTATTTTTAGAAGCCCCATTTCTGTTTGTACTCTGAGAAATAGAATTAGTAAAATAGTGTACTTTGGTACAACTGGTTATAAATCTTTATGATTAAATTTTCTTTTAAAAAACACTCTTTTAGGTAATGTGCAAGCAATCTTATGCAGGAATGGGAAAGGCTTTTGCCTAACCAAAGAACATACTATGCAAAATGTGCTAGAAAGAAGAAGAGTACTTCTTAGTGGAGCAATAATTGATTCTAATGAACCAAACAGGATCCTGGAAAGGCAAATAAAAACCACACGAGGACTTGGATTTCACGGAAATCTCAAACTGAAAAAACTCATGATTCCAGCACCTCAAACTATTTCAGTTCCTATAGATGACTTATGTCAATTCATTATTCTAGCTACTAATGGACTTTGGGAAGTTCTGGATAAAAAAGAAGTTGTCACATTGGCAATGACAATGTTTCGTATATATAAAGAAAATTACTGCAAAATCAGCGAACCAGAAAGTAGTATCCATGTATTATATCAGTATAAATCTTTTTCTAAAGAATGTTTATCAGCTAGAAAGTCAAAAGTAATTTTACCTGACTCAAAGTATTCTGAAGATTCCACTTGTAATCTTAAAAATTTTAAAGAATTTCTACCAAAACAGACTAATCACGAACTTTTCAGTGGGGAAAAAACTGATGGTGTGCCAACAGATTCAAAGGAGAACCAAAGAGAGCTATGCATTAATAGTTTCTATGAAGGTGCAGCTAAGTATCTTAGCCAGGAACTTGTAAAAGCTGCCTTAGCAGCTGGCTCCAGAGACAACATTACAGTTATGGTAATCCTTCTCAATGGTACTGAATAGCAATGTCTGAGGTAATGTTCTAATCATCCAGAATACGAATATATCAAAACTACTCTTCAGTGAACCAGATATAACGATGTATCAACATTTTTAAGTCATTTTTAAGAGCACAGCAAAGAAAACATAAAAGCAGATTTTGTACATAATTCTGCTTATGCACACTGTTTACTGCCAAGAAAGAAAAGAATCAATACTTGCTATTTATACCACTTTATTCAAACCTGAGCACCTCAATATAAAACTAAACACTTGTGAACTGTTTTCCTTACTAATTCTGAATTACTGTAAATGTACAAGTTTTGCTAGCAGTTCATCACTTAAATAGATTAAATCATCTCTGACACATGGTAGATTTCATACAAAGAAAATAACTAAAAGAATTAGTGCAATATACTGAACCGATCAAAATAAATTGAACTTTGGAAAACAAGGTTGGCTGAAAGTTCGTTACTAACACCGCAATACTTATGTTACAACTTACAGGTACATTGTTTATTATGGTTCTAGCAATGTAGGAACAACTGAAGCCCCTTCCCCTGAAAGGGGGAGAGAAGGAAATAATTAGCTGTTTTAGTATCTGTACATTTTGTATATTTTTAAGCAACTCTTAAATATTACAGAAAAGTATTAAACATATATGAAGGCTACAATGCAGTACCCTATTTACAGTACATCTGAAGATCGAATTTAAAATAATCAAGTTTGAATGTACATAATTGTTAGTGCATTGACTATATTATGTCCAAAGGGAACAAGCTCCCTCCCTGCCCTCAAACAATAAAACCACCCTATAAATGGCCCGCAGTGATTAAGCTGAAATCAGACACCAGGTCTGCTTCACTTTTGTTGAAGAGCTCACATGTTTGAAGGGAACACTATCCATCAAGATACAGTTATCAGTTTTCATATTTCTAAAACAGAATGATTTTTACCACCATGTAAGAAATAATGGTACTGGCTATAATTTAGATACAGTATGCCACCAGTGTTTATTTTTTCCACTGAAGATGTGGGACTGTGTTCTTATGGCTAATTTATTAAAATGTGGAATGTACACTTTAAATACAGATACCAAGAGAAATTACCACTTGTCTGAATACTGTAGCTAAGCATAAATATCTTAAGTCTCCTAAAAGGAGAATGTTTTTGAAAAGCTCTAATTAGTGAATTCCAAATCTTTCTCAGAGTACTGTAGCATACCAGTTTGGAGGAACTGGCTGATTAACTGTGGGTCCAGATAGTCATTATTCTAAATCCCCACTGATGAGAATGATTTCCCCTAACCTTCCAATAAAACAAGTGTACACTTTTACTTTTCCCTTCTATTGCTGAAACATTACTCAGAGGGACACATGCATGTTATTAAAAATTAAGTTCAAAACACTTAAAATAATTCTGTATTAGAAACTTGACTCTATCATAAGTCTCTTCTTTTTGGAAGTCATACTGGGCTGGTTAAATGCTCCAATTCCACTGTTAACATTTAGGAAGCAGAAGAATATTCCAGCTAGTTCAAATTAGCGGTTTAGTTACTACAACACTGACTCCTGGTTGGCTGTGTGGGTTCAGTAAGGTCTACTCCTCTTCCTCTGGCAGAATTGGCTCCTGGATTCTGTGGTTCGTTCTTTGGCAACTTTTTAGCTGACAGATAAATCATCAAAAATAAACAATTAGAATACACATAATAAAATTACTTCCATCTACTTATAAAAGACAACCTTTCTTACCAATTAAGTAACCTCAAAATATCATTTAACCTTATATTCAAATGTTTGCTGAGTATCTATAAATGCCAAAACACTGGCTGCAGCCTATACAGAGTTTGATTTGGGGTGTGTGTTGGACAGGGGAAGACAGGATGGGGACTAGCAGAAGATACACAATTGAGACTGAACTTAATAAAGCATTGGGCTGCTAATCTCAAGGTTGGTAGTTCAAATCCACCTGTCATTCTGTGGGAGAAAAATCAGGCTTTCTGCTCCCATAAAGATTTACAGCCTTGGGAACCTATACAAGGTCACTACGATTTGGAACTAACTGAACAGCACACAACAACAAAAATAACTCTTTATACAGATGCACTTATTTCATACTACTAGAAAAGTTGTACTATATTTGATAATCATTAATATTTCTATTACTTAAGTAAATAGACATTTTTTCAGAATCTTTAAAACATTATTTTTCATGTTCTGAGAAATAAAATCTGCTGAAGTCAGTTCACAAAAGTCCTCTATTAATTTATGGATTTCTTTTTTAAAAAACTATTTCGTTGTGAAAAATATACTCAGCAAAACATTAAGACCAATATTCTTGTATGGTGCTATGTGTTAATGCGCTGGACTGAAAGGTCGCTTTGAACCACTAGAGATCAGCAGTTCAAGCTCACCAGCCACTCCTCGGAAACCCTATACAGGGTTGCTATGGGTCGGAGTTGACTCAATGACACTTAATAACAACAACAGGTACCATTTAGTGACATTGATTCCATTCTCCAACTTGTATAACAATTCTTACTTTCCTTTTCTGAGTTGTTCCTCCTCAGTTAAGATAAATTCACTGCCCCTTAGGGTTCCTATCTAATCTTCCAAGTTGCTGTTGTAAATCTGATCCCATAAATGCCAGAGTTGTTTCGGACTCAGCGACCCTGTATAGGGTTTCCGCGGAGCAGCTGGTGGGTTTTGAAATGCTAACCTTGTGCTTTGAAGTTGAGTGCTGTTCCTACAAGGCTATACCAATAAATGGCTCCATACAGAAGTTCTTAAAAGAGTATTAAGCTCTTTTAATTTCTCAGTAATCAGCTGCTCAGAAAGATGGTAGCCAGGAAATAAGTTTATAAAGAAGTTTAGCTCAGATCAATGTTCTCTGGCCTTCCATAAACACCATTCAGAACAAATCAGAATATAAACAAACACCATCATCCCAGTAGAAACTTACCCTCTATCATGCAACCTAATTATCAACCAGAACTGTGACAGATGACATCTGCTACTTCTTTCTTGACTTCTATCCTCCTAACATCTACAATTTACCCTTTTATGACCGATTAAGATCTTAATTTGATTCATTAGTAGTTGTGCCTCGTATTTATGGACTTTATGCAATTCAAAATCACATGAATGAGCTTGGCTAGCCTGATTCAGAGTTCTCCATGTAGTAGTATGGTTTCACCTCTGCTAAGATCTACAAAGCTACTAGCTATTCTCTGGAGTATGTTTCTCATTCATTAAAATTTACCTGCTAGATGTAATCTGCATTGATCCTAAATACTATCAATATGTTGAATTTACTTTTTGAGGGTAGTGATAACAATAATTATCTCCAAGAGCACTAACTGTAAAGGTGGCTCTCTAGCCTGATCTGTGTCTCAATCTTGGAGATATGATTGTGTTAAGACCTTGGCTTTACTCACAAATTGACCATACTCTACTTCAAAATCCAAATGCCTAGGAACACTTTAAGAAGTCCTGGTGTGGCACTACAGTTGGTAAGCACTGGACTGCTAATTACATGGCTGGCAGCTCAAACCCACCAACTTCTCCAGATGAGGCTTTTTGCTCCCGTAAACATTTACAGCTTCGGAAACCCTATATAAGGCCACTGTGAATTGGAATCAGCTCAATGTGAGTTACACTTTGAAAATTCTTATCCTTTAATATACCAGACATCAGTAATAATCACCTTTAAAAGTGTGGGTCCTGGATGATGGCTCTGAGATTTAGGAGCATTAAAAATTGAGAAGGAGCCACTTTTCTAGGAATCATAGGAGCTCTGGTAGCATAAGGGTTACGAATTAGGCTGTGAATCTCAGGGACAGCAGTCTGAAACTACCAGCTGTTCTGCGGGAAAAAGATGAGGCTTTCTGCTCCCATAAAAGATTTACAGCCTCAGAAACCCTGTACAGGGTTACTATGAGTCGGAACCAACTCCATGGCACTTAACAACAACAACATTCTAGGGACGGTAGTGTACATAGTAATTAAATTCTGTTTCCTGTCAAACATATGATAAGCAAAGTCCAGTAGGTGCTGAATGCTGGTACCTAGGACAAAGAGTAGGTTAGTATTACGAACTGCATTATACTAAATACCAAGTTAGGTTTTGGAGTTGAAAATTTCTCCCTTTGGCAAAGCTCTCCAAGAACTTAAATTGGAATAAGGAGCTTTTAACCACTTGGTTATATTGTTGTTGTAAGTGCCATCAAGTTGGTTCTGACTCATAGCAATCATGTATGGTGTTTTCAAGGAGTGGCTGGTGAGTTTGAAGTACCAACCTTAGGATTCAAACCAACCTTGTGGTCCAGTGATTATCCTACGCTGCCACACCAGGCCTGCTGATTTATTGTACTGTTAAGTGTCATCAGGAAGGGTCCGACTCACAGCAATCCTATATAGGGTTTCCAAGGAGCAGCTAGTGAGTATGAATTACCAACCTTGCAGTTCAAATCAACCTTGCAATCGAGAGCTATGGTACCACACCAGGTTATACTGTTGTTGTTAAGTGCCGTTGAATCAGTTCCGATCCATAGTGACCCTGTTTAGAGTTTCTGAGAAGCAGCTGGTGAGCTTGAACCACCAACCTTGCAGTTCAAACGACTTTGCAGTCTGGCGCATTAACCCACAGCCCCACACCAGAACTCCTGTTGTTTTTAAGTACTGTGGAGTTGGTTGCTACTCATAGCGACCCTGTACAGGATTTCTGAGTCTGTAAATCTTTACTGGAGCAGAAAGCCTCATCTTTCTCCCATGAAACAGCTGGTAGTTTCAAACTGGTGACCTTGAGGTAAGCAGCTCGACTCATAACCACTATGCTACCAGAGCTTCTGTAGTGAGGATTAATTGGAATAAGCTGAGTATTTTGGTGTGGCACAGTTGGCTAATGCGCTAGCTTGCAAGGTGGGTTTGAACCACAAGCTCACAAGCCACAATTGTGACCCCCTCAAATATGTGTTGGGTATTGAGTTTTCTTTGTTATGTGAATGAGGCACTGCCAGTGTAGATGTGACTTAACTCAGTCATTGCTGGGATCCAAAATGGAGCAGATTAAGCCTAAATGTTGCTGTTGTTTAGTGTCGTGGAGTCTGTTCTGACTCATAGCAACTGTGTAAAGGGTTCCAAGGAGTCCTGGTGTGGTGCTGTGGGATAGTTAATGCATTGGACTGCAAGGTCAGTTTGACCCATAAGGTGGGTGGTTCAAGCTCACCAGCCACTTTTGGATATCCTATACAGGGTGCTATGAGTTGTAACCCACTCAACAGCAGTTAGCAACAACAAAATAGGCTTTCCAAGGAGCAGCTGGTAGGTTTGACCAGTTCAAACTGACCTTATGGTCCAGTGCTTATCAGATAGTGCCACACCAGGACTCCAGTTAAGCCCCAAAGCAAGTACAAATAGGGAAGACAAATGACACGCAGAGATCTCCAAGGAATACCAGGGTTCCTTGGTTTTCATCAGTTTTCCTCACAGTGGACAAAGCCAGCCTTCCTAAGGCACACTGAATTAGAATTTTTGCCCCCTAAACTGAGCAAGGTCTGGTAGCATAGTGGTTATGAATTGGACTGCTAATCTCACGGTCAGCAGTTCAAAACCACCAGCTGTTCCATGGGAGAAAGATAAGGCTTTCTGCTCTCATAAAGATTTACAGCCTGGGAAACCCTGTACAGAGTTTGCTGAGAGTCCATGGCACATAACAACAAACTGAGATCACAGTCCTCGTGTGGCACTAAGGGTTAATGTGTTGCAGAACTGCAACGTCGGTTTGAACAACAAGGATGGCGGTTCAAGCTCACCAGCTGCTCCTCAGAAAACCTATACAGGGTCGCTATGGGTAGGAACTGACTCAATGACACACAACAACAACAAACTGTGAGAATTCTGGTGTGGCGCTGTAGGATCAGTGCTAAACTGCCATCCACAAGGCTGACAGCTCAAACCTACCAGCTGCTCCTTGGAAACCCTATAGAGGTTTGCTGAGTTACAATGCATTTGACAGCACTTTACAACCTACGACAAAACTTTGAGAAAATAAACTTTTGTTCACTAAAGCCACCTACTATGGTATTTCAGTTACAGCAGCTCTAAGAAACTAAGACTGTCCCTGAAAGGATTACAATGATTAAGAAGCTCAAATTTCTCGATCCAGTCAATGAAGACTGTGTAATGAAAGCAGTAAACCTTATCAAATTTACAGCACACCATAAATTTATTAAAGGTTGGCCTACACAAAATAAGAACGCTCAATTTGGGAAGTTATCATCTGGTGAGGGACATGAAAAGGCCCTAATTCCATATTTAACTGGGATTTCTTTCAGGAAAAGAATCATTTTCAATCAAGAGAAATAATTGAAAACGTCATGATTCACTTTTTAGCTGTGGTTTTTTAAGTCTCAGATTCAGCTGTTACTGGTTAAATTCTGTGACTTCGATATTGAAAACTATTTGGGGACAAGAATGTGGACATCCTGGTGAAGAATAACAGCTGTACAATAAAAGATATCCCAGGATGAGAGAAGTGCTGGGTACATGAAACTGAGGAGGCAGTGAACTCTGAAAGCCACCAAAGTAGACGATGCAGGTAGACTCTGCACCTTAAAATTCCTGGAGAGGTTAGGGTGAACAGAAATAGCTTTACTTTGTGTTTATAGAAAAAAAGGAGGCTTTCTTTACTTACTACTACAAATTGGTTACCTATAATGAAAAACTGGAATAGCAATTATCAGTTAAAAGCTCCAGAACCCAAAGGTAAGAGAACTGTGTATGATCAAAGGGTCATCTCAGGCAACATAAAGCAGCCGAGTGTTGTTTTGCTCTCCTGCTTCCTACCTGCACCTCAAAGCTTTGAAACCTTCTCCATTTAAAATGTTTGCATTAAAATAAATTATTAATCTGTATACATATGTATTATGTGCATTTTGGTTACATTTCTCAATACCCATATGATGGAATATTACTCAGCCATAAGGATAGTGTTCTGGTATGTGCTACATAAACCATGGAGAAACCATAAAAATATCATACTGAGCAAAGTAAACCAGTTACAAAAAGACAAATACTGTATGATTCCACTTACATGGAGTCCTGGTGTGGCACTGCAAGTTAATGTGCTGGATTGCAAAGTTGGTTTGAACCGCAAGGTCACTGGATCAAGCTCACCAGTTGCTCCTTGGGAAACCCTATTCAGGGTCACTATGAGTTGGAACAAACTTGACGACACTTAACAACAACCAGAGGCCGAATGGAAAGGGAAATGGAATGTTACTGCTTAAGGGATATAGCTTCTGTTTGGGGTAATGAAAATGGAAATTATTGATAGTTTCACAACATGGTGAATTTAATTAATGTCTCTGAACTGCACTATCCAATGGTTAAAATGGCAAGTGTTTTTTTTTCCATATCTATTTAGCATAATAAAAGCTACACCAAATATGTTCTTGTGTCAACTATTTCACTTATACTTATCATTAGAAAAAAAGTTACTCTTACCTATTGCCATAAATATTTCATTTACATTCATTGATGTTTTAGCTGATGTCTCCATGAATAATAAACTGTTATCATCTGCATACGACTGAGCTTCCTGTTAAAAGAACAAACAAAAAAAAAATTGAGCTATATTCATTGAATATACCATATCTGCTTTATTTGTTACAGAAAGGAAAAAAAATTAGGATACTTCTAATCAACAACTGCGGGAGTCCTGGTGTGGATAAAGTACTGGACTGCAAGGTTGGCTTGAACTGCAAGGCCAGCAGTTCAAATCCACTGGCCACTCCTTGAAAACCTTATACAGGATCGCTATGGTTAGGAAGCAAGTTGACGGCAATTAACAACAACAACAACAGTAATCAACAACTGTGTAATATGCAATTATTAATTAAAACTGAGTCCCTGAGTGTCACAAATGGCTAAAGCTTAAGTATTACAGAAAGGCTGGTGGTTCAAACCCACCCAGCAGTGCCGTAAAAGAAAGGTCTGGTGATCTATTTCTCAAAGGTCACAGTCTTGAGAACACTGTAGAGTTTAATTCTAACTATGCATACATGGGGCTGTCATGAGTCGAATCAACTTGATAGCAACTAGTAAACTGGTGGTAAGATATTAGTTAAGTCACTTAAAGGGTAAGAGCACTGGGTGAGATAAATTCTCTGTTTTTATGTAATAGCTTCCTTTTACCCCACCTTGCTAATTTTTCCTTGAATTGTCCCACTTTGAATAATCTTCCTTTAAATTTGCCTTCAAATGACAAGTTCCACAAGGGGAGAAAATTACCCTACTCTAAATGTGACACTATATAATAGCACTGGATTGCTAACCACAAAGTTGGCAGTTCAAACCCACCAGCTGCTCCTCAGAAACCCTATACAGGACTGCTATGAGTTGGAACTAACTCCCTAGCACTTAACAACAACAAATATAAAACTCTCTTAGGTCTTGATGACAATTTTTACTTATGTCCAATATTTGGAATGAATATAAAAGGCCATTTTTCTTTGCAATTTAAGTGGTCTATCTACCATCTGTTTTTTCTGTGGGAGAAAGACGTTTTCTCCTTTTGTAAAGATTTACCACCCCAGACGACCGTAACAGGGTTTCTTTGAGTTAGAATTGACGTTATGAGCAGTGAATTTGATTTTAGTTTTATCCACCTTTATATGATGGAGAGGTAACCATCCTGTCTAATGAATTATACTTTATAGAGTGATTAATATAAGTAATTTTTGACATTCACAACCTACTGGCAGAACACAGTGCTATAAAACATCATGTTCATCATTTCATCAATAATATAGTGCACACCAAGTCATACTGGGTTTCCTTTCAAATTATAACACTAGTTGTGCAATCTTCACTCAACTATATCTCAAATGGTTGCCACAAGAATTAAATGAAACCACAAGTGTAAAGTGCATGGCTTAAAACTAAATGCTTCAAGAATTATTCAATCCCTCTCTCAAAGTACAAGTACGCCAACCTCCGACTATGTTGTTGTTGTTGTTAAGTGCCGTCGAGTCGGTTCCGACCCATAGCGACCCTGTACAGGGTTTCCGAGGGTGTAAATCTTTACGGGAGTAGAA